AAATTTTTGAGCCAATAAAATGGCTAGTAAAGTTCTTAATTATTAGAGAACAGATTCTCGTTACAGAGAACCAATTCTCATTCTAGAGACCATCTCTTCTTCTCTATCCTCTTTTACTATTTTGGATCATTTGCAAGAATAACTAAACAATAATAATAATTCATTAAGTAACTAAAATGCTCTATATGGCTTAATGGAATTCACAAATGATTATGGTTTGAATTATTATTTTTTTATTTTGTTATTGAGTCTAATTTTCCTAATATTTTTTTCATTTTTTTTAATCATTAGATACTCACAAAAATGTGAGCGATGGAGGTACTCTAAGACATATTCCAAAAAATAAACAATTCCATTTGCTTCTCGTTTTACATATGTTTGATTTATGCCTTCTTATTATCATACATCATTTCAACTTTAACCTATAAATACAAAATATGAGTATCATAGAAATGTGAAAAGTGTTGTTATCACTTAAAACTGTTTGTGTTTCCACAATAACAATAACAAAAAAAAAGCAAGTGAACTGAACACCAGCGTTTGTGAATTGAAGGATCCATGCCTTGCTTCAATCAAACACACGTGCTTTGTTCACTTATATGTAAAAAACTATTTTTAGTCTTTATGGATTTCAAATTATATAGAAACATAATTAATCTTGTTAAACTTCATAATTTATATTATTTTAGAATATGCTGTTTAAATATTCTGCAATGGATGAGACTCGTTGTCTCTCCTCGGACACTTGTGTTAAATCTCCTTTCTTGGAAAATTTGGTCCCACTTCCCTTAGAATCAAACCATCCGCATCATGATCCGATTAATTCGGATTTTGAAACGAGGACGTCCAGATACCACCACTTGCTTTCGACCCATTTGGAGTCGGATTCTTGGATATCCAAAGTTTTGGATATTCACTTATCTATATAGGAAATGATAACTTTTTTGAGAAAACAAGTTTAAAATGTTCCCATTTGCTAGACCGGTCATACTTAAGATGAATCATCGCTTTCGAATCTTCTCTTGTGTTGATCCAAGCAGGTCGACAATGAATTTATAATAGATCA